CTGGGGAGAAAGGGAGGGAAAGGAGGGATAAGGGTGGGGAAAAAGAAAGGGGGCATTACGATTAGCATGTATAATGTGGAGGGGGGCATGGGGAGGGCTGTGCAACACAGAGAAGACAAGTAGTGATTCTACAGCATCTTACTACACTGATGGACAGTACAGTAATGGGGTTTTTGGGGGGGTTTTGGTGAAGGGGGGACCCTAGTAAACATAATATTCTTCATGTAATTGTAGATTAATGACAACCAAATTAATTAATTAATTAATTTTTAAACAAGTGAGTGACTTTGTAAAAGTCACTTTGTATCCTTTGGGGCCTCAAGTTGTAAATCTGCAACAGAAACCACCCTGTGCCCCCTGCCTGTTAGGAGCTTGGAGAAGGGCAGGGGATGTGGGAAGGCTGCATGGCCAGGAAGAGCTGGCTGGCAGGCATCTATATGTCTCAACTATGTCCAGGCTCAGCAGCAGCAAGCCTCCCCAGGTGTACCTATTCTCGTGGAGCAGCCTGGGGGGCTGCTGAGTCTGCAGGGTACCCCAAGTCTTTGCCCCAGGGGTGTTCCATCTTGGGGAGAAGACTGTCAAAGACCAGAGGGTAGCAAGCCCACTGTGCCCAGGGCAGCAGAAGGGGATGGGGCCCTTCTCCCCCTCTCACTGGAAGAAAGGGGCCAGAGAAGTCAGGTGTGTCAACTCCAAGATGTGCCCAGGAGCCCCATTAATTCAGCAAAAAGTCAGAATTCAAGATGCCTCCCTCACTGCCTTGCTGTTCAAAGAATGGACCTTGGACTAGAAGCATTAGTATCACTTGGAAGCTTGTTGGGATTCAGGCCGGCAGGTCCAGAACTCAGTTGAACATGCTCCCCAGGTGATTCACATGCATATTATTTTGGAAAGCATTGGTCTCCCAGGCCCTAGCTGAAATGCAGTGTCCGGGACCCACAGACACAGGAAGGGTCTGGTCCAAGCGTTTCCAGGCTCCTCTGGGTGGGCGGGTTCATGACCTCTCTGTTGGGTGAGGCCTGCTGAACCTAAACAGGCCAAAGGTGGCAGGATTGAGTTTTCTTTCATAAGGAGGCCTCTGACATCTCTCCCTGTATCTCTGCAGGCAGCTGTCTGTCCTGTACTGCCATCTGGTGGCTATAGGAAGCCATTGCTATCTCACAGCTCCCCATCTCTGCAGCCAGGATCCCAAGACCCAGCTGATGATGGAAGAAGGAAGACTTGGCTGTCTCTGACTTCTGACATAAGGTTCAGGGACCACGAGAACACAATGGAAGAAGTTTGGAAAGCACTTGACTTTAGCATAGTAGCAAATGGAGGCTTCCCTTTTCTCTGTGCAAGGGGTCCTGGCTCAGCTCTTCTCCCCATCACAGCCCTTTCCTGCACACCTGGTTGGAAGCTGTTCAGAACTGGAACATGGGTTGGAGAAGACATACAGGGTTCGTTGTAGCAAGGACATGCAGGTAGGAGGTCGCTCATCTGGTTCAGGGAGCCCTGTGGGGTGGCTGCAGGACATGAGGCAGCAGCTGGTTTGTGCATGGTCTTGTCAGCTGCTGGGTGTTGGGACCTTATCCTGCCAGCCAAAGCTTCAACGGGGTAGAGGCATTACTGCATTCGCTTTGGGAGGCTGCTTGGTGGAGGATGGACTGGATTTGGGACACTGGGGATGCGCTCAGTGAGGGGCCTATGTCACAGTGCAGAGAGCATTAGGGGCTTCATGTGAGCCAGCCTTAGGTGTAGAAAGGCTGATGACTCTCCCACATCCCAGAGAAAAGATGTCATCTTAGGGTTGGGAGCTGACTAGAATGTGAGCTGACTGGCTGTGCAGGAAAGGAGGTCTTGAGAGACATATGGCCTTGTAAGGTTCTTCTAGGGTCGTGTCCCTAGGCCTTCCCAAAGGTCTGAGAGCCCACGTTTTTGGCCACTTGGATGGAGCAGCCTGACTGCCTGCCCTGCCGCATCTGTGTTAGCTGACCACTCCCTAAGGCTTTATTGCCCACCAGACCCACAGTTACCTGGACTCACAGGTACTCTTGGGGAGCCACATTGGAACCTCTCGCTCTCCTAAGCCCAGGATGGCTGGGATGACCTCAGGAAGGAAGAATAAGGGACATGGAGTCCACAGGCTGGAGCAGGCCCCTGCCTCCCTCTGGAGCTTGCAGGTTCTACCTTGCACCCTGCTCCCTGCAAGCTCCATCTCCCCGAGGTCCATCATAACCTGGACCCAGGCTCCAGCTCTGGCTCTGCAGCTGACTCACTGAGCCACTGGGAGCCAGTCATCTCTCCTTCCAGACTTCAGTGTTCTCACCCAAGGGGAAATAGGAATTCGGCCTCAAAATCATCTAGATCTTGCATATACCTCAGGGCTTTGAGAACCTGAGGTCCCATTCCTCCGGCAGAAGAGCCAGGCTGCTCAGAACTTATCTCACCCTCCTCCAGCCAGTGGAGTGTCTGGGTCTGTTGGAGATGCTCTTGGAGCCTCCTTCCTAGCCCCTCGGTTGCTGGCTCAGCTCCCAGGGACCGGCACCACTGGCAAGTCCTCCTGGGGTTCTCTTCCTGCTGAGCATGAACTGGGAGGCTGAAGATGCTGGCCGAATAATGCCCGTGGGGCAGCACTCAATCATGATGGCGGGAGTTGGTGGACAAATGCCTCTGCTAACTGGGTGGGGTGACTCTGAGGAGTGTGCCTGTCCCCCCAGGCTCCCAGAACAGCCGAGGTCCGGTTTCCCATGGTGGTAATGGGCTTGCTGACACACCTTTTATTGCCTGCCTGCCCTCCCTGCTTCCCTTCCCATGTTCTCATTGGCGTTTTCTGGGACCATCTTTTGTATATAAACTACTTGTCCTCAAATCCTTGTCTCGGGGTCGGCTTCTGGCGGAACTCAAAAATCAGGACAATATACAGCTGAGCTGCTTTATTTTCCTCATCTTTAGTGCAGAATGAACAAGAAAGGTGGGGGACGGGTGACAGACTTCTGGGCCATGCTCAGGGGAGACCCTAGCTTTTCATCTGTGAATTTGGGACGAAGTAGTAAGACTGAAGGGTAGGGCTCAGGCTCCATTTGCATTTAGGGGGCTGTGGAATGACACTCTAGAGATGCTGGTCTGCACTTCCTCTCTGGGGCAGGTTCTCCGCTGCCAGGCAGGCCTCAGGCACTGGGGCCTTTGCGGGCTACCACAAAGCAGATACCATCACTGGTGCACAAGGCCTTCGAGTAGCTGTTGGGGCAGTAGTTGCACTTCAGCACCTGGCAACCGGCCTCTTCCACGGCCTTCTCTACCGTCTCCTTCTCCAGGTAGAGCCCAAAGAAATTCTTGGAGCCCACCATGTAGCTCTCGGCGTGCAGGACCACCACGGTGACCAGGTGCCCGCCTGGCTTCAGCAGGCTGACCAGGCCCTGCACAGCTGCCCGGTAAGTGTCCACATCGGGACACGCGCTCTCCAAGGCCAACAGGGTCAGCACGCAGTCGGCTGGTGGCACCTGGGCTGTCCCCAGGGGATGTGGCTTGGTCACATCGCACCTCAGCAGCCGCGTGACTGTACTTCGGAGCCGGGCCTCCTTCTCCTGCCACCTGCTCCTTTGGGGAGGGTCATACAGGTGATGATTAAAATCATGACAACAGGTCACCACCCTAGCTGCCATCTAGGCTGCTTTCTGTTGGCAACGCTCCTATTTTAACCTGTTCAGTAACTCTTTGAGGGAGATATGATTTCTGCCATTACACAGATGAGGAAGTTGAGTGATTGGCTCAAGGCTACACAGCTGGTAGGTGACTGTGAATTTGATATGTGATTACTCCAGCCCCTTCTTCCTCTTCTTCCTCCACCTTCTTCCTTTTCTCCTTTTCAATAATTCAAAATAATTCAATTTTTGGTATATTGCATTATAGATTTTTTTAAGTTGTAGAATATATATGACAAAAAATTTGCCACTTAAATCACTTTTAAGTGCACAATTCAGCAGCATTAATTGCATTCACAATGTTGTGCAACCATCACCGTGGCCTGCTTACACAGTGTCTTGTCACCCCGCATAGAAGCTGTGTGCTTGTTAAGGAACACCCCCCCCCCCATTCTTCGTCCCTGTGTCTTGGCTTTTCAACCGTGCTCATCTCCGACATTCGGCTCCTGCCATGTCACTTCCTCCTCTAGTGGCCACAAGACTCACAGCACAGCCTGCACGCCTTCATGTGGCCCTCCGGGGGTGTGGACTGGCCGCCTCCCTGACTCCTGACTCTCCTCTTCAGTCTCCCCCACGCACTGGGCCCCTCCTCCAGGTCCTCTGACACACAGCTGGCTCTCTCCCTTGGCTGGGTCTTTGCCCGTGCTGGCCCTCTCTCTGACCACGTCCTCCAGATCTTCACGTCCTTTCTCCCTCACTTCACCCAGGAAGCTGCTCTGAGGGCTTCTCCTTGGAAAGGCCTTCTCTTCCCATCTGCCATGAACTGAATTGTGGTCCCCCCACTGCCACCTCCATTCATATAGTGAAGCCCTAACTCCCAGAGTGATGTCTGGAGGTGTGGCCTTTGCGAGGCAGGGAGGATTGCCTGAGCTCATGAGGGTGGGGTCCTTTTAAAATAAGAGGAGCCAGAGAGCTTGCTGTCCTCCAGTGAGGCCACAGCCAGAGGTGGCTGTCTACAAGGCAGGAGGGGAGTCCTTACCAGACCCTGGCTGTGCCGGCACCCTGACCTCAGGTTTCCAGCCTCCAGAACTGTGAGAAATCAATGGCTGTTGTTTCAGCCACCCTGGCTATGCACTGCGATATAATGAGTCATAAGAAAAACATATTTTGTCATTCAGAGGACCAAATATGTGTTGCCCAGGTATATTGGGTCTTCATCCAGTTTCTGAAAACACTGCAGAGACTTAAAGGTGAAATGGGTGTTAAAGAGAAACTTTTGGACTGGCGGGGAGGTTGAATCAGCCAATGGCCAATAATGTAGTCAATCATGACTAGGCAGAGAAGCCCTCACCAAACCTCTGAGAAGAGGTTTTTTCCTCTCTCTCTCTCTCTCTCTCTCTCTCTCTGCTCTGCCTGCCCTGCTCGGTTGGATCCTGCTTCTTGGTCGGAGAGAGCTTCTATGCCTGGGGAACCAGAAAGCCTCCACATGCCACTGAGCCAGGCCCCAAGTTCCACCAGGATAGATGCTCCTTTATTCAGGACCTTGCCCTATGTGTCTCTTCATCAGGCTGTTAACATGTATCCATTATGGTATCTTTATTAAACTGGTAACCGTAAGTGTTTTCCTGAGTTCTGTGAGTTGCTCTAGCAAATTAATCAATCCCAAGGGGGAGGTCCTCCAATCTGTAGCCAGTAGGTCAGAAGCACAGGGAACTGCTTGGGGCTTGCGACCAAATCTGGAGTTGGGGTGGAGGGCAGTTTTGTGGGATGGAGCCCTTAACCTGGGGAATCTGGTGCTGTCTCTGGGCTGATAGCATCAGAACTGAGTTCTTGGACACCCTGGTGGTGTTTGGGAATTGCTTGGTGGTGTGTGTGGGGGGGAAGATCCCCCTACCATGCACACATGCACTGGAATTGGTCTGGGAACCTGAAAAAGGGTACTGCTGTTATGCTGTGTACGATGCTACTACTATTGTTACACATATGAAAAAACACCCACAGGCAACAAGAGCAGACTTGATTTCTCCCTTCCTAACAGCACTGCTGCCTCTCCCTAGGCCCCCAGCCAGCTGAAGATTTTCTCACAACAATTGTCATATCTGAATTTCTTTATCTAGTTGTTGATTGATGTCTTAACTACTAGAAAGTGAGCTCCATTGGGGGGAGACTGTCTTGTTCACTGTGGTGTCTCCAGTACCTAAGAGGACAGAACCCTCCATGCGCTCTGTGTGACAGAGGGCAGGAGGGAGTGAAGCTGTGGCTGGGCCACCATGGAGCCCCCTGTGCTCAGAGGCCCTCCAGCCCTGCCCCACTTGACGCTTCCCCACCTGGAACTAGGTCAGGCCCCCAGGGCCCAGTGGCAGGGATCTTAAACCCTGGTCACTCTCCAGATCTGGGCTTCAGTATCCTCAGCTGTGGAATGAGGGCCAGAATCCTGCTTGTCCCCCCTGGGGCTCCAGTAGATGCATTTGCTCTCTGTGAACTGGCTGAGAGGAGGTCTGAGGGGGGGTCAAAGTCTGTGGGGCATGGCAACAGTGCTGAGGGGACCAGTGTGGGGGGATTCCCTGAAGCCCACGTCCTTCCATGATAAGTGCCTCTCCAATATTAGAGTAAAGGAAAAGGTGAACAACTACTTTTCAGAGGAAAGTGATCTATGTGGGCTGGAGCAATCATGGGAGGCTTCTAGGAGGAGGTAGAATTGAAACTGGTTCAGCAGCATGATTGGGATACAAAGAAGTGGAGAGAGAGCAGAGCAACAGAAGCGAAGAACACAGGCAGCTCTAAAACTTGAGGCAGGACTCATTCAAAGGTGAGGGTGGGTAGGGGCTGATGAGACCCAAGTGGGGCGGGAAGAAGGTAGGGAGATGGCAGATGAAGCAGGTCAGTGGGCTCATGCTCTCTTGGTGCGAGTGGGGAGACCTCATCTGGGCAGGGTGGTGGCCTGTAGGTACCTGTCTCCTTCCAGCTCACACACATATTGCACCACTGAGGACCAGTCGTAGGCCCCTGGCTCCTTCTTCAGCCACCTCTCCAGCTCCTGGAGGTTCTGCTCAGTGTAGTCTGTGGCGATGATTTCTCGGAAGGCCTCACAGGCGGAGAGCAGCTGGTAGATGGTGGGGCCTGTGCCAATGTCAATCAGGATGTCGCCCCCCACTCCTCCTGCAGGAGACAGCATCAGCCAGATCTGTGGTGGGGGGCACCCCAACTCCATGCCCAGCCATGGTAGATGGAGAAGACCCCTAGGCTCCACCCTTCCCCACAACTTGCCATCTGTGGGGGTGGGGTGACACCCAGGAGAACTGGCCCTGCCTTTGGGTAGCCCCCAGGCTGCAGGTGTAGACCAGGTTCACACACCTGGGGTTCAGGTGGGTGACAGCTGGAGGGTGGGGTACAGCCAAGAACATATCAAGCCCTTCTT